CCCCAAAACCCCAAAACCCCAAAACCCCAAAACCCCAAAACCCCGCAATGAATCAATTTATTTTGTGTTGGAGGAATTTTATATTTAAAAACCTTTGCGAATTCATTTTATAAAGACTGTAATAATGGAAAAATTAGAAGATGTTGAAAAACAAGTAACTGATATATCATTGGATGATGAATCATTAGCTTCTTAAACAAGCAAAGATCAACAACCTGAATTTTAAACATCATAGGAATTGACACAATAAAATTAAGGCAAGTAAAGAAAACAATAGAAATAGCAAAAACCCAAAAAAGACTCTGTAGAGGAAATAAACAAGCTTGGTTTCTGTCCATTAGGTTGCTCAAAGATTACTCTATGGCATAAACCAGCAATTGCTGACATCAAACTATTGAAAGAACTGAAGGGGATTAACTTAATTGTAACCCTTTTATACGACAAAGAGAATCCTTTTCCAGTTATAGAGGAGTGCAAAAATTAAGATATAGAAAATTTCAGAATACCTCTGAAGGGTGCAAGTGATGCAACTCTAAAGGATCCAGAAAATATAGCTATGATAGTAGAAAAACTGACTGAATTGTTTGATAAATTGACTTAGAAAGAATATAATGTGCTTATTCATTGCTCAGCAGGTGTCCATAGAACCGGTACAATAGGATATACTCTTATGAGAATGAATGGGCTAGACCAACTATAATCCCATGAAGCATTAAAATAAATGAGAGAATAGACCTTTTTGGATGTTGGTGAGAATAGAATGCAAATTGCAGAATAGAATTACATTCCTCTACTTTTAAAAAATGACTTGTGAACTTTTATGAAGATAACAAATTTATTAATAGATTAAGTTTTAATATTAAGAAGTAGATTGTGATTGATTATTTAATGTGAAACAAACATAACTTAATGTATTATCCTACAATTTAATCTCAAACATTACTTGCTAGATCGACTCTACAGATTATAAATCAAGAGATCGCATTTACTCAAGTAGTTCATTATGCTCATTCTTCATGCAAGTGCGTGCCTTAAACAACTACTTCAACTTCACCATCATCATCTCCATCAACTAGTTATTTGAGATTAGTATAGGCAAATAAAGCTGTTGCATCAGATTCTTCAGAGACTTTCTTCATTGTTATTCTCTAGGCTTCATCGCCATCTTAAGTATTAAGAAGAGTGACAGCATCACCTAAATCTTTGTCATTGTCAAATAATTCTGTGAACGAGGAGAGCAGTTCCTCAATAGAAGCCAACTCAGGTTTTCTTCCATCGCCTATTGAGACAAATTGATCAGACACGTCTTCTCCTCCTTAAGCCTAGAGTTGGCTCAACTGCTTGTTGGTTTGTTACATGAGCTTATTGAATTAAGGAATTGAAACACCTTGGACGGCGATAAAACCGCTGGCTAGAACAGCAAGAGATGTAAGGGCTTTTTTCATTTTAAAAATAGAGTAATTTAATGAACAACCTTTGAAAGTTAATAAATACATATATTGTTACCATAATTAGAATCACTGAACCAAGCCTTGATTTTGCAAATTGATGTTACTCATTCACTCACGCTTTAATTGATGACTAAATTCTTACAATTTAATTTATTGTTATTCATTTTAGTAATTTGCTTTACTTTCATATACAATTTCACTTGGGGTTTTGGGGTTTTGGGGTTTTGGGG